TGAGGCAAAAAATTTAAGAGGGCAACAAAAAGTCATTAATGTGCATATTTTAGTGCACTGTTTCGAAAAGTCAATGTTAAGGCAAAAAGCCCATGATAGCCAAAACAATAAATTTTTTAAATAAAGACAGGCTCTTGTTGTTTATGTCCCTGCATTATTGTGCAATGAGAATAGTGTTTCCAATCAGTCCCTGGTTCTGGGATATGTGGCTGCTGGGTTTACGAGGAGTGACAATGCCACGCAAACAGATTGGGCAACGCAGACTTTATATATACTCATGTGTTTTGACTGCACAGCTTATATTAACTTTTTATACTTGGTGCAAAACATGCATAAAGGCATACATTTCCCTTTTGGCCTCTTGCTCCCATATGGTTCAGCACAGAGCAGTTCAGTGTGCATCTCCTAAGAACACGGAGATTCTCCTATGGGACTGTGGTGTAGTGATCACACACAGGAGGTTTGACACTGATGCACTACAACTATCCAATATATATCCAGATTTAAGTTCTCACACACGCTTGTGGCATTAATGATATCTTTTCTGTCATGTTCCACTGTTAAGGATCTCTTTGAGGATCACGCATTGAATGTAGTTACCAAGTCTCTTTATTCTCCTTTAATCTAGAAAGCAATGCCATTGGCATTTTGAAGAGTCCAGCCCCATTGTTATGTGATTATCTCTCAATTTTGATCCACCTGATTTTTTCCTCGAGAATACTGCATAATGTCACATTTTTAAAAAAACACATTCTTATTTGAATCTTATTGTACTGCTTGGCGGAGTAGGACTGGCTGACTTCTTTCTAAAGCAGTAGAAGCAGAGTATTCCACGTTGTCAGAGCAGATGTATTCCTTTCAGGTGTTAAAGGTTTTGTGCTAGAAAAATTGCCAGCTGAAATAAGAAGAAACTTCAGCTCCTGGACCAACTTTGACTGATTGAAAGTGACTTTAAAGTCTCCCCCAAGGTCTCAGTGTAACTGAGCATCCCAGCCTCAAAATGCATTTTAAACCTTTTTTTTTTTTTCTGTCTTGCTTTCAGCCTTGAAACATACTTTGAAACTCTTTGTTTCTCTCTTTTCCATGAGGCACTTTTGTGAACAGTGCTCACTTATCTGATTATATGCTTGCTTAGAAATTCCAGGGGGCAATTTTGAAACAAAAAAGGCACAGAGACCCAGCAGCAGAATCCTCCTGCTTGGGGGAGTTATGAACAGTTAGCCCACCACTACCGCGCAGAAGTGAGGATGACAAAAACTGGACTTCCGGACTGGCAATTACTCAAGATAGCCATGGGCAAGAGACACACAGAGTTCTTCCCTCCCTTGATATTCCCGTATTTTCCCACACCTTTTTCCTGCATAAATCCCTTCACTCAGCCCAAAAAGTTGGAACGGTCTTTCAAAGGGGAGCCATTATCCAACTGGTAGTGTGTCCATAGTTGGTTCCACATTTGGTTCATAGTTGGTTCCTTCCAGTGGGTTCTTGGTCTTCTGACTTCAAGAATGAAGCCAGGGACCTTTGTGGTGAGTGTTATAGCTCTTAAAGGTGGCATGGACCCAAAGAATGAGCAGTAGCAAGATTTATTGTGAAGAGTGAAAGAACAAAGCTTCCACAGCATGGAAGGGACCCAAGCAGGTTGCTGCTGCTGGCTGGGGGTGGCCAGCTTTTATTCCCTTATTTTTCCTCACCCACATCCTGCAGATGGTCCATTTTACAGAGTGCCGATTGGTCCATTTTCAGAGTGCTGATTTACAATCCTTTAGCTAGACACAGAGCACTGATTGGTGCGTTTTTACAGAGTGCTGATTGGTGAAATTACAATCCTTTAGCTGGACACAGAGCGCTGATTGGTCCATTTTACAGAGTGCTGATTGCTGCGTTTACAATCCTTTAGCTAGACACAGAGCACTGATTGGTGAGCTTTTACAGAGTGCTGATTGGTGCATTTACAATCCTTTAGCTAGACACAGAGTGCTGATTGGTGCATTTACAATCCTTTAGCTAGACACAGAGTGCTGATTGGTGCATTTACAATCCTTTGAACACAGAGTGCTGATTGGCGTGTTTTTTCAGAGTGCTGATTGGTGCATTTACAATCCTTTAGCTAGACACAGAGTGCTGATTGGTGCATTTTTATGGAGTGCTGATTGGTCCTTTTACAATTCTTTAGCTAGGCACAAAAGTTCTCCAAGTCCCCACTCGACCCAGGAAGTCCAGCTGGCTTCACCTCTCAGTAGCATTTGGATAAAGTTGATTTCCTTTCACCATACCTCCTGCTTCTTGAGCTTTCAGCTTCTTAGCAGCTGGACTTGAGCCGGCTACACTGGGGAGGAAAGAGTCTCCTAAACCATGCCTGATGTGTGCCTTGGACAGCTAAGTGAGGGGTGGGGCAGAGGCCCTGGCTAGTGTGAACACTGCTCCTGGTGAGGAATGATTGTGGCCTTATCTTCTGCTGCAGGCAACGATCATTCTGTTTTCTAACCTAACCTGTGCCAATTTCACTGAACATCCAGACACACACGCTGACATGCACCAAGGGGCTGACTAGAAGTTAGTAAGATTGCTCTTCTCTTATGACTGTTGGTAAGCCAACCAATTTCTCCATAATCACAGCTCATACACATGTGATTCAACTTTATCCTCATACAAATCCACAAATGCATGAACTTCCCTTGTAAAGAACTGTTGTCAAACAGCTTAAAAATACACCTCACATCCTCCTATTCACTAGTGTTGATCAACATCATAAATAAAGTGAGAAGATTAAAGGCTGATGAATTAATTCCTTCCCAGGTAGTAGGGAAACAACCCAGAAATCTTCTTTATTGTCATTTTGGAACTTAATTTTGAATATGAAAAAGCCTTATCTACTTGAAATTTAATTAAAAGTAAATAAAGAAGCTGCACTACATTTTACTGGGAAGGAAAGGAAATGGTATCCAGTTTCCCCATTGTGCCCTTCTGTTCAACTCCTCATCCAGTCGGTGTTGGGAATCAATTTATCACTCTCTGCCAAACAAATGTATCATTCTTCAAATCTTTCCTGATGGAGTGGTAAAGAATTTGTATGCTTATGGCCTTCTCAGTTAATTCTGCAAATAGAGATAGAGGGAAGTTTAGTAGTGTTTATACATTTTCAATGAGCAGCCTCTTTTTAAAAAGTGCAATTTGTATTGAGATCATTACAGATTCACATGCAGTTGTAAGAAATCACATAGAGATCTCCAGTGCACTTTGCCCAGTTTCCCTCAATGGTGACTTTTTGCAAAACTGTAGTACAATATTGTAACTGGGAAATCAACATTCATGCAGTCTTATTCAATTCCCCAGTTTTACTTGTTCTCATTTCTGTGTGTGTCTTCAGTTTTATACAATTTATTATGTGTGCATAAGTATGCCTTTGACTTAGCATTTCCACTCTTAGGAATCTCTCCTCTAGAAATATTTGCCTATGTGCACAAAGCCACATGTACACAAATATGAACTTTAGTCTTTTGATAGTACTAACAGAAATAATGACATTCTGGTTGCATCATTAGGAGCATAATTAAATACTTCTGGCACAATATGGAATGCTATGCAGCAGTGAATAAAGACAGGAGCATAGCTATAAAAGCTGATATGGAAAGCTCTCACAGACAAAATAAGTGTAAAAAGCATAGAATAAGAGAATAATATAGGAGCCAGGTGCGGTGGCTCATGCCTGTAATCCTAGCACTTTGGGAGGCCAAGGCAGGGGGATCACGTGAGGTCAGGAGTTCGAGGCCAGCCTAGCCAACATGGTGAAACCCTGTTTCTACTTAAAATACAAAAATTAGCTCGGCGCAGTGGTGCGCTCCTGTAATCCTAGCTACTCGGGAGGCTGAGGCAGGAGAACTGCTTGAGCTCGGGAGGTGAAAGTTGCAGTGAGCCGAGATGATGCCATGGCACTCGAGCCCAGGTGACAAAGCGAGACCCTGTCTCAAAAAAAAGAATAATATAGGTACATTTATGTGGAAAATGTAAATTGATAAATCTGCATACATGTGTATGCATAGAAATGCCTTTAAAAATGTGAATGACACCCCTCAAACTGTTAATAACAGCCACCAAATGTTTTAACTGAGACTCTGTAAATCTAAAACATCTAGTCCTCATCTTTGGCATTAAGACAAATCTGCAATCACTTCACAGCCAGTCTATGCTTGAGACTTAACTCAGAGCCTTCCCCCATGGGGATGAAAAATCCTCTTCCGCCTGGAAGAGAGGAACGGTGGGAGCCTAGAGGTGCCTGTCAGCCTGAAGTAGCACCCAGGGTGTGAGGCAACTGGGCTTATCTGAAAAGACATGGACACAGAGCATCCAAAATTTTTTTTTTTTTTTTTTTTGAGGTGGAGTCTTGCACTGTCGCCTGGGCGGGAGTCTCGCATCGTCGCCTGGGCTGGAGTCTCGCATCATCACCTGGGCTGAAGTGCAGTGGCGTGATCTCAGCTCACTGCAACCTTTGCCTCCTGGGTTCAAGTGATTCTCCTGCCTCAGCCTCCCGAGTAGCTGGGATTACAGGCGCCTGCCACCACGCCCAGCTAATTTTTTTGTATTTTTAGTAGAGACGGGGTTTCACTATGTTAGCCAGGCTGGTCTCAAACTCCTTACTTCGTGATCCGCCCACCTTGGCCTCCCAAAGTGCTGGGATTACAGGCATGAGCCACCGCGCCCGGCCCCAAATGTTTTGTATAAGCAAAAACAGCAAAACGTTAACAAAATAAGTTGTAGTAATTCACAATGGAAAGATAGCAGGTCTCTTCCACATCCCAGGCCACCTAGCAATCCATTTTTCCAATTGCAACCGTTCATTATTTACTTAGTTAAAATAAAATGAGTGGAGGAAAGGTGAGGTAGGACATTTAGTGAAGTTCTTGCAACTGAAAGGAACAAAATGCTTCTTTCCAAAGGTACATTTTTTGTAACATATAGACACATTTTCCCATAAGAAACTCCCAGCACAATTGAAAGCACATGTGCAGATGGCCAGGGCGTGCTGTGCATGTTACTGTGCAAGCAATTCAGCAGGGCTGCTGCAAAACCAGCTTTCTCAGCTCTGGGTGCTCGGGCTTGTCTCCATAACAAGCTACCATGTAACAAACAGATCTCAGCAGGGTGAACAACAGTTGCAAAAAGTGAGCTGTTTCCTTCATCCCCACCCTGCTCCCTTCACTCTCAAAAGTTACAAACTGTGAGTTTCCTTCCTGATAAACTCCAAGGCTTCCTCACTGATTGGTCTCAGTTTGGAAAAGGACGTGACATCAGCAACTTCGCAGACTTAGGGCTGGAGGGTTCTTGTGGCCTCTGGGCGGGCCTCCAGCCAGTTAGGTAAAGCGTGTGTGTGTGTGTGTGTGTGTGTGTGTGTGTGTACACGAGCGTGTGCCTCTCTGACCACAGGTAGCACTCAGATTACCCTGCCTGCTCTGTTCTTTGCTGCAGACCATTTGACCAGGACGTGTGCAGCTCAGCCAGCCACAGAACTGGAATTTTTCAGGAGCAGGGGGAGCATGGAGTTTGGACTTTGCTGAGCAACTGAAGTGGAGCGCAGAGCTTGCTCGCTTAGGAGAGAGCATCATGGATGGCAAACAAGGGGACATGGATGGGAGCAAGCCCGCGGGGCCAAGAGACTCTCCTGACATCAGGCTTCTTTCAAACCCATTGATGAGTGGTGAGTCATAGGGGCAGTGGAATCAGCCCTGGGGAGGTTGGCTAATGTGCTTAGGAGAGGAGGGTTGGGCAGTTTCAGTGGCTCTGTGTGAGGTGTCCATGGGTCTGTTACTGGGCAGATGCCCACAGTTCGCTCATATATATCCTTTACACAGCTGTTCACAAATGTGTACACTTCTTTCTGCAGAATCCTACATACAACACAAATTCAGTTGTCACAAATTATTCTCCAGTGAAAATTTCAGCTCCCAGGAATCATTCTTTGTGGGTCAGATGCATTATTTATTACATTGGAGGTTTGAAAGTTCCTTACAAACAGGAAAATTTTTAATGCTAAAACTTTTTTCTTAATTTGCAAGTCTTAGGTGTTTGGTATTTAGGTGGGGCAGGGTTTATAAATGATGTTCAAACGTTGAGCACTGATTGAGTCACTTTCAAAAGAGACAAAAGAGACTTTGTTTTACTTAAACATTGGAGAATCATCTTACAGGTATTCTCATCTGTCAGGTGGTGTCTGTGCTAACGTACAGAATGCCACAAATACACACTTTGGTGAGCATTCAGCAGGTGCTTGTTGGCTAAAAGGATTCTGAAAAATTTGTTTAGGCATTTGCACACAGGTTTTTATAAATAATAGTGTATTGGTTAGTAATATACTGGTTAACTCTCCAGCCCCAAGTCTGCAAAGTTGATGCCACATCCTTTCCCAAACTGAGACCAGTCAGTGAGGAAGCCTTGGAGTTTATCAGGAAGGAGACTCAAAGTTTGTAACTTTTGGAGAGCAAAGGGAGCAGGGTGAGGGTGAAGGAAACAGCTCACTTTCTGCAACTGTTGTTCACCCTGTTGAGATCCTTGGGGGCTTGTTATGGTGACAAGCCCCAGCACCCAGGGCTGGGAAAGCTGGTGTTGCCGCAGCCTTGCTGAATTGATGTATTTATTATTTATTAATGTTTTTTTAAGACGGAGTCCTGCTCTGTCGCCCGGGCTGGAGTGCAGTGGCGCAATCTTGACTCACTGCAACCTCCCTCTCCTGGGTTCAGGCTTATATAGGCGGAGCACGGTGGTTTACACCTGAAATCCCAGCACTTTGGGAGGCCGAGGCAGGCGGATCGCGAGGTCATGATACCATCCTGGCCAACACGGTGAAACCCCGTTGCTACCTAAAATACAAAAATTAGCTGGGATTACACGTACCTGTAATCCCACCTACTTGGGAGGCTGAGGCAAGAGAATCACTTGAACCCAGGAGGCGGAGGTTGCAGTGCACCGAGATCTCGACACAGCACTCCAGCATGGTGACAGAGCGAGACTCTGTCTCAAAAAAAAAAAAAAAGAAAGAAAAAACTGGGCGCGGTGGCTCACGCCTGTAATCCCAGCACTTTGAGAGGCCGAGGCAGGTGGATCACGAGGTCAGGAGATCGAGACCATCCTGGCTAACACGGTGAAACCCCGTCTCTACCAAAAAATAACAAAAAAATTAGCCGGGCGCGGTAGTGGGCGCCTGTAGTCCCAGCTACTCGGGAGGCTGAGGTGGAGCTTGCAGTGAGCCAAGATCATACCACTGCACTCCAGCCTGAGCCACAGAACGAGACTCCATCTCAAAA